CTGAAAGTGTATCAGCCTTGATCAATGTTTAGATAATAGCAAGGTGAGGTTTGCTCAAGAAATTAGTTTGTTTGGTTTCAGTGTGTAGATGTGCAGCTCTCAATGAACCAGCGCGACCTCCCCCAAACAAACACACCTGTCAAACACAAGGTATGCAATACTAGGCATAGCAGGATACAACCAGATGGCTTCTCCACAACAGTTCCACTTCTTGTTTCCGTCCACAACAATACGTTCCTGTGTTACTTAAATAGTCATTATAATAATGATCGAAATTCATACATAATTAACTTTCTTTCTCAAAAACTGTTTTCTTAAAAGTCATGTGATGTTATCCAAAAAGATAAAAAGAGTTGTCAGGGCAACCATTTGAAAAAAGGGACAGGGCTCCAGAAAAATTCTGAACCATTAAGTATTAACTCATGTGGTATCACCACATAGGTTACAGATAGTTTTCTTTGTGTTCTACATGTAGTTTAACTCCTTTGGATCTGTCCGGTATTTTTTAACGCATGCACAGAACCGTAGACCTTTTTCAGAAATAATTCAGCTGTTTCAAGAGGTTTCTAATTTTTGTTCTTTACCATGTGTGCAAGATGTCGCCTAAGCTGACAATAGCATTATACATGGCTCAGTATATATAAGACCTATGGCATTTGCACATTATTCACTGCAGTAGAATTCATGTACATATGATACCTGCATTCGATCTGTAGATAAACATCTGTAAAGAAATACAGGTAGAAAGCAGAAAAGACTAGATTGGGTAACTACTCACCCTGCCATGACACTACACTGTTTTCTGAACGCTTCATGAAATTTGTACACAGCCCAAACTTAATGACACATTTTATGTACTTTAAACCTCTATTAATTGTTCTATTATATTGTTTTTTGTTACTTGGGATGCCTCATTTGACTAGGGCAGTCAAATATTCCAGGGCATGATTTGGCTTTATAAAACATGCACTAGTGTAACTTACTGTTGAAAAATGCAACCTGATATTTATGTCTACATGCACCAAGTGTAGAAGATAACCATTCCATTTTGTGTCTGTCTAACCCCTATTACTTGTTCGCAGAATATTGATCTTTGAACACAATATCTCGAAGCTGTATTTACCTTACTATATCACTAATCTCTGTGTCATGTTTAATTTGTTATGCTTTATTTTGCTTGACATGTGGACACTTTAAGATAACATGCACGTTTCCTGCAAAAAGTCACAAATGTATCTGATTCTGGCAGAACTCCCGCCTATGTTAAACCTTTGATAAATTCAAGTGATCAGTATGCAGCCTGTTTTTGTCTGGTGTAGCTACCCTGTTTTCAAGTCAACATGTACCTGGTGCAAGTTACATCTGGTTCCTTAAATCAAGCCATGTATTCATACTTGGGAACAGAAGGTCATCAAGATAAATTATTTGGCATATAACTTCATAAGCATGATAAGCACATTCAGAATGTAGGTCACTCTGACATGTAACGTCTTGAGAACTAACTTCACAAATTCCTCAAACAATTAAGAGATGTTTTACTGTGGTACACACTTGATACCATTAGACATTTAAATATCTGTGAACTTAATTTACCATATTTCAAAAACGTACAAATCTTCTAAACAATGAATCGTATTGTTGAGCCTTTCTAAAACATAAACATATGACGTAAACATCAGAATTGTTTAAATGATGGTTTTTTGTTTCGAGAAGCACTGATGTGTTTTTAGACCTTGCTTGAATGTCTCCTTTGTATGTGAAACATGTGTTCAAGTCTGATGTCTGTCAGTGCTCAGCTGGAATAGCATACTGCACAAACTTCTGATCAATGCTCATGACCGCAAATAATGTTGATTAATTCTACCAATACCTGGACAGTGAACCCCAAAACAAGAACAATGGACCTAATCAGAATTTCTAATGATAATCTTCATTTTCTTTACAATGCATTTGTGTCACAACAGTTTTGCAACACTGTAAAACTAAACAATGACATAATTCTCACTGAGGAATTTCTTCATGCCAGGGACGTAGCTACCATTATACTAGAGCTGTGACGATATATTGTAGTATCGATAATCAAGATACTTTTTGTTATCAAAATACACTTTTAAAGAAAATAACTAATGATAGCATATCGTGATATGCATCGTATCGAATCGTATCGTTCCATGATATCGCAATACGTATCGTATCGTGAAATTTTTGTTTCATCACACCTCTACATTATAGTGAGTGAGTGAGTGAGTTTAGTTTTACGCCGCACTCAGCAATATTCCAGCTATATGGCGGCAATCTGTAAATAATCGAGTCTGGACCAGACAATCCAGTGATCAACAGCATGAGTATCGATCTGCGCAATTGGGAACCGATGACATGTGTCAACCAAGTCAGCGAGCCTGACCACCCGATCCTGTTGTTAGTCGCCTCTTACGACAAGCATAGTCGCCTTTTGTGGCACGCATGGGTTGCTGAAGACCTATTCTACCCCGGATCTTCACGGGTCAGCTACCATTATAAAAAAGTCCGGGCTTACACATGATTTTTGCTATGAAAGCTGGGCAAGCCCTCAATACTGTCGAAATATAAAGCTTTGCAACCTATCGAGCTTACACACAAAAAATGGCTTGCTACGCACCATTATGCAACATAAGAATTTTACCAGTGATTATTTGTCACAGTGATGACATGAGGATTGAGTTATTCCCAAAACTACTTCAAGCTAATAAAACTTTTGTGTAAGCTTTACCATTTGACCTCAGACAGCATGCAAAGCAGATGTACACTCAAATGACATTGGGACCAGTATATATCTGCTGTCTGAAAGAAAATATCTTTCACCTACCACTCAGTGGCTCTGAGCACAGTCAATTCCAAAACATAGATAGAAATTCACTATTATGATATCAGTGTTGGACAGTGTGGCAAATATGTCCTCCTTGATGTTACATGAATGATTATTGATGATACTATTGTGGTTATTCTACATGTACAGGCTCAGGTCAAAATTCAGGACTCACGATAGAAAATGGCAAAGTGAAGGCCAACAAAACATTTTAAACAAAAAATCAGACATCAACATTTTGTTTAAAGTTCAAGGCCACCAAAAGCCTTTGAAACTGAGCTGTCAGCCAATTAACTTCTTCAAAGTTCAGGAACCTTTAATCTCAAAGCATCACCACTGATGCAGAGCCTGTTCCTCAATTAAGTCGTTTGTAAAAAGAAAGCTATGTGAAATATATCACCTTCGGCAAACATAAGCTGTCATAAATGTCAACACAGTTTACCTGGTATTTGACTGACACACGAGAAATACATGAAACATTCAGTGTCACTATCGGTCTCTATCCAAACATGCCTGAAGTCACACGCAAAATAATATCACTCAAGGATATTTCCTCGGAATGAAATAATGTTTCAGTTGAGCTTAGTTCTCACTTAATAAACAAAGGGATAAGGCTGAATGGTGGCGATGACAAACAAATGTCATCAGAGATTGGAACTGAAGTTTGTTTACTTGTCTGTAATTACTACTAATTTGTTCTTGGGTCAGATTTACCTACTTCAGCACTGATTTGACTGTACCAAAACAATTACTCTTGGATTACTTGTTTTTTTCCAAAATCTCATCTGGTCGCATCAACCACTCATCCAAAATGAAGAGTGGATTACCTGGATTTAATTTTCACTATCTTTATTAACTTTCAATATGCCTTTCCACAAAACACTACAGACTTGCTGCCTTGTCTTTAGGGATCAAAATTGATCACTGTTTGAACATAAAGATTCTGACTTATATTTAACAAGTTTAAAGATGTCACTGGCTGAAATATAAAGAAGTCATTTTTGGGCATGTTTGGAAACAATGTTAGAAGATAAGTTAAAATTGTGTATAATCATAAATATATTTGGGCATAATGGAACAAACTCCAACTTTCCTTTGCATACTCTTTACTTCTGTTTGCCATTGACAGTGTTCATCTATCAACCCATTTTGAAGCCGGGACGTCCGTCAAAACATGACTAACAATCAAACTTCATGGACAGGTATGTTCCCTTAGGGTCAGCATAAATTTATCTTTTCCAGGTTACCTTCAATTATTTATATGCCTAATTCGACAGTTTTATCAGGGCTAATTTCTGTCTCTGCCTGAAGTGATAATTAATGTCACTTATCCGTTTATACCATTTAACAAATATTCCCATCACTTCAAAATTTGATTACACAGCATTTTTAAACCTATGTAAATGTATTGTATTGCAAATTGAATATTTCCTTGATATTGTAATAAAATGACTTATTGTAACTACCATATATTATACTTGAGCCATAAATCATGACAGCTAAAGGCCATCAAACACTTCTTATTGATTCTGTATATGTTCTGTATGGTTTTCTTATATTACAGGGATCAACATTAACATATCTTATTGTCAATTAACTAAATTTACTATCATCTGTCACCCCCTATACATAATCACATCTCTGAACCTGCATCATTTCATGATAATGTAGTTGTGAGATAACTGAAAGATCATGATGACAACCAATTGACAGACAGCAGGACACTGGACATGCTGAGTTAGGAGACCATCACCTGACCTTCGACCCTAGCTTAACAGCTATGAAAGGTGGGCCTCACCATGAACCAGGAAATCTACACTGGGTAGTCAGAGACTATAGGATAGTCTTTGAAATGAAACTTATTACATGGTTTACTGAAACAGTCATTACAAACACTAACAATTTTCAGCTATACATACTTGTTTACTTATTAGATAGTAAATAATTTGCATCTGTCTTTAATCAAATGAGGTCAAATAAAAGCTTAAACATAACCCATACACAAAAAGAAGAAAATGTCAACAGTATTTTGTGTGTAAAATACCCTGGCACCATAGGATAGAGCCAAAATGCATTTTTTACAGCGACATCTCACATGTTCATAACAAAATGTTATTAAACATAAACCAAATGAAACCTGCTTTTCAATATTTACCTTCAGTGGTTTGTTTTTCTTTTTAATGTTGGAGTTCAGGTCTTCATGCAGTCTGTCCAGCAGCCACAACAAAAACTCCTGTGCATCATGCTGAGAGCTACCTTCATACTGATGATTAGCTTTCCCAACGATAGACTTAAAATCCCTGGACACTTCAGCACTGTATCGGTTTGACCAAAAACATTTCAGAAGCACTGCCAAATGCTCAGTCACATCTGCTTTGATGGCACCTTTCCTGATATTTCTTAGATTTCTCAAATCCTCTTTAACCACACCATCAACAAAGTATTCCACAAATGAATCTGTGTTCCCTAAACACTGTAAAATTGCATTCATAAAGCAAGTGTTCCCATGATTGTTGAGGCCGACTGTTCCAGGCGTCTTCTCCCACTTCGGGCCTGTGAAGTTTGGGTCGGTGATGAGGGGTCTTGATGTTGATTCCGACTTCTCGTGCTTTCCTCTTCTGGATCCTCGAAGATCAGTTGCATCATGAAAGTTGTCATTTCGACGTCTAAGTGTCGGTGTCCATGTCACACGAGATGACGGATCCTGTTCGTGTATGGAGCTGGCAGAAGATGAACTCTTCATTACACGATTCATTAGTTTCTTTATTGATTTAAAAGATGTCTTACGCGACTTACTTCGCCTTTCTGATGGCCCTATGGTTCGCCTTTCTTCGGGAACATCGGAATAGTAGTCTTCTCTTTGACTTCGTCTGTCAACAGTTGTCAACAGTGCGCTTGTGCTTACCTTTCGGTGGCCTGAGTTCAAAGGGGCACCTACTCCTGTGCTATAAACACCATCGTCGTCGTCGTCATCCAAAATATCTCCCTCAGATGACGCTCTTTGTCTTCCACCTGGAATCGTTTCAGACATTGTGAAAGAATGAAGAAACAAAGGGACAAAATCTCTTTTCACCGGAGATATGTTTCCACCTGTAGACTTAGCTTGACATCCATGTTTACGAAAGCATGATGGGTAATTGATTCCCATAACGAGGCCGGGTCTCGTAAAATATTCTCCTAACAGCAACCCTTCTTTACGCTATATTTCTAAGTCTTCTGCTGATTCTAATATTGAGAAATATCTCACCCGAAATATAAATCGTAAGTAAACACAATGATATGTGCGATCAAATACTGTCGTGCTAAGTAATCACTGCACCGGAATGTGACTCGAGTGACTTACTGTCTTGGCGTCTGTCCAATTAACATTACGTAAGCACCTTATCACATGAACACCTGTAGTTAATTGAGTTAATGATAATGCAGATTTAATTACAGCTGTGATTGACGCACACTGATGACTAGGGCGATCAAATCATCCCCTTGTTAATTCCCTTGTTACAGATTATCACAACAGTTTGATTTCTCTTTAACCGGTTGGAAGTAAAGGATTGGACAGAATCTGAAATGAACATCCACACATAATATCCCATTCAATTGTTAGTTTATGCAATGATTTTCTTCAAATATTCATGTAAATAAACATATATAACATGTGTTATATTTGGGATTACACTTTCTTAGTAAAGTATAGAATTTAGTACTTTTTCTGGGTGTGTTGGCGATTAGGTGCCTGAGTCTGAGGGTGTGTGGGTTCGAATCCCGGATGGGACTCAACCCAACAAAAGTACTAGAACCTGTACTTTACTGAGAAAGTGTAATCCCAAATATAGCATATGCTACATTTGACCACTTTCTAAAATGGCGTTGCGTAATATTAAACATATAACTGGTTTTTAAGATAAAGTCTTAACGTAAATAGATTAAGGATAGATTTAGCAAATATTTTGTTGTTGTTATTTACTTTTTTAGAAAATGGTATCTTAAAGTTGTTGGAAAAGTGTAAACATAGACAGTCTTACTTGAAAATTATTATCCAAATTATGTTTTACACGGAATTCAAGTGCAGACAACTGCAACACCGAAAACTTCAGTGAAAATGTTTACATGAAATGAGGATGTTTCCAAAATAAAAATGGCCTACCTTTCACATCGAATCTGCTGTAAGTGGAAGCTTTTAATATGGAATGTATGAATGCGAAAACGGAGCGATGGTCATCTGAACCCAGATGCATCCAATAAATCTATGCGAGTGTTTAAATGTTACGGTTCTATTTACATTCCATGCATTGTTTCTGATCGGTTAAACAACCGAGGTGTCGCCGAGCCTTGACGTGTTTACATACCATGTCACTGTGGATCGGAATATCTGTCTTGATATATGAGCGTGTTTCCGACTGCTCACGAAAAGTGTCGAAGTTCGACGATCGGTATTGTCTACGGAGGTCAATGTGAACACCACATAAAAGGATAGTTTCAATATTTCCTTATATTGTCTTAAAAAACGAAATCGCGGAACTTGAGTCTCGCTGTCAGTCCAATTTCATTATGATGATAATATGTCACTAATGACCCGTAATTAACCCCTGTGGACTGACCTCGCTCTTGATGAACCTTCAGGCTATATGGTGTCAAATTAACTACAAACTATAAGGTTATAAAAGCACTGTAAAGGCTTCAGATTGACAATATATTTACCATCAAACGAGTTCCCGAGTTGAAAGGACGAACGTTGAAAGCCAAAGCCGGAAAAGGTATTACACAAGGAAGTCCGGTTCTAATGTCATGTAACAAGGTGCGGTCATTCTTTGTGTCCTTTCCAGATGAAAATAAAAGTAAATATATCTGAGGGTGAATGCTAAAAAGAGTACTGATTTAAATTTGAACATGAATCAAGTTGTATTTGTACAATTACATGTTCATGTGGAAACAGTACAATTAAATAATAATAGTAAAATAGATGTTATGGTATTTTGAATTTTATATAAAAATATCTAGTGGTGGGCGATGAATGTAATTTAGCTACCTGAAGTTGCTGGTATAAATCTGGGTGAAGATTGATTGTTCCCTTGCATAACACTAGTTTCTTATTATGCTTCTAAGTCGCGCTTTTATCAGGATACATGTAATATGTTGCACGTCATAGAAGTCCATTTGGTTGACTTAAGACTGTTTCCATGAATATGGTCCATTATGTATGACAAAATCGATCATGTCAACCATCAAACAACAGACGCTTTATCGACAAACTAATCTTGTAATACCTCGTTAGGAGAACAGTTTTCTCTTCAGTTTGCGATATGGCGGGAACCCGGCGAATGTCGTAGGCACAGATACCTGTTGGCAAAGAGTTTGAGGTGTTATATGCAATGACATGCTTGTAATTTGTCCATGTAGGTTGTTTGATGTGTCTTAAATTCATTGAGACCAATGTGTTTGTCTCAACTAAGCGTTTTGAAATGCTGAAAGCATATGTACCTTGTGGGTGACCCGTTGTTAGAACGAAGGTCAAGGCCATATATATATCTTGATCATTTACCAGTTTAGTATACGTCTTTGGTGCCTCCAACATAATCAGCCCTGCAAATTAATATACTGTTTAGCATGCGGCAGGCAGAGTATGCCATATCATGTTTCAGATTATATTGCGACATTCATTAGATGTCATTAATGCCAGATTGTAGTTGTGAATGTTGTTATTATTATTCAGTTTTGTTATTGTTATTATGCGTCGTCCGATCAAGGTTTTCGGTCAGTGCCAACTCTGTCTGTAAAGGAGGGTGTTGCAAACATACATTGTAAAGTTATCTTTTTACAAGTTCGTGAAATACTTTATGTAATTAGAAAGATAACAACAAACTCTTGAGTATCAAAGTTTTGAAAAACATTTAAAACAATTTTACTTCACAAAACTTGGTGCACCCCAACCAGATTGATGAGGATGCAAATCACTTGACTGTTTGACATCCTATCAGTAAGTTGAAACCAACACAAACAAGGGGAACATGTGCCACAATTGAGAAATAACCCCTCTACAGTTCGAGTGATATCCACCCGTGAAGATCTGGGTTAGAATTGATTTTCAGTAACCCATGCTTGTCGTAAAAGGCGGCTAATGGGATTGTGGGATCAGGCTCTCTGACCTGGTTGACTCATGTCATGGTATTCCAATTGCGTAGATCCATGTGCGGTTGATCACTGGATTGTCTGGTTCAAGACTCAATTATTTACAGGCAGCTGCCATATAGCTGGAATATTGCTGAATGCGGCGGTAAAACTAAACTCATTTTCTCACTCCCTCGAGAGATAATCAGTTTATAGTCAGCAGTTATACATACATTATGGAATGAAATGGAAACAATTTAATATATCCAACTGTTAATGATCCGCTAGAAATGAAACTTTTTTACTTTGAACAACCACCTCCATGGTTAGAACGGAAGGTCGCGGGTTCGATCCCCGGCCTCGTCATACGAAAAGACGTTTAAAATATGGTACTTGTTGTTCCCTGCCTTGTGCTCGGCATTAATGGGTACAACAAGGACTGGTCGGCTCGAGTCAGTATAATGTGTCTGAGAGGGGTATTCATGCTTAACTGCGGCATGGTATCTCAGTGGGCTAGCACTATACAACCAGCTTCAGTCTTCAGTACTGGGCTAAATACAAGCATGCACGTCATATGAGCGAAATATTCTTAAGTACGGCGTTTGACGCAACAATTTTGTTAATGACTCTCAAAATACTATCATACGAGTCAAGCTTGATGCAAGTTTTATAGATGGCCCTCACAATTCAGTTCAATAAAATCGATTTGATAAGCAAAAAATGATATTGTTTGATGATAGTTTAACTTTTACAGAGCTGTCAGATTGTTCCAGAGAACTCAGAGGAGACAGTAATCCTGGCTGTTTGAATTGAACAATGCTGTAGTTTCATTTGGTGGTGTGACATACACAGTTACATACTGAGAATGATAAACACAAAGAAATATTAAATTTTCATGACTCCCAAATATTGAAAATGACTCTCCAAAATAAATATTGTGAGTCACCATGACTCCCATTTTAAAAGTCTGTGTAAAACCCTGCTGACAGCAGTTATGATGGAAAGAATCTGATGATTCCAGCAGCTCAAGCAGTGCCTGAATCAACCCCTGATTCCGATTATGTTTTGAATAAAACTGAATAATAGTGGGGATAAAAATTTCACGTTTCTTTAAATTTTTATTTTTATACACAGATAAGAGGGTTTTTTTAACAAAACTAAATGCTGTACACCCATTGAAAATTTCAGTCTTGATACAAGTTAGGGCAGGGTAGATATGTCTCTGATAAGGTAATTGCACATGGTTAATTGACTGACTGACTGAGTTTAGTTTTAAGCCGCTTTTAGCAATATTCCAGCAATATCACGGCGGGGGACACCAGAAATGGGCTTAACACATTGTGCCCATGTGGGGAATCGAACCCGGGTCTTCGCGTGACGAGCCAACGCTTTAACCACTAGGCTACCCCACAGCCCCAATTGACCTTACCATTGTCACATTACCGGTGTGATCATGGCAATTGTATTCCAATGCCAGTACATACTGAGTCAAAGTGTTGCTGCAGCATAATTTCCAAAAATAATTATAAATACAATATCACTTACTGTCAGTACTTATTATTAAATAATTTATACAATCTTTCAAAATCTTTCAACTTGAGCAATTGGGATGTGCAATGGCTGTTCCCCTGAACATCCATATCTAAACCAGCATGATAATTTTGTGAGATTGTATGTGTTTCACACACATCATTGAATATATGAAATATATCAGGTTATACAACATAAGATTTTATGATAAGAAAAAAAGACCTGACCTTATGTATTGTCCAAGTGAATTCATTCTTTATTTTATTACAATAAGTTGAGCGCAATATTATCAAATCAATAAGCATTAGTAATTTCTTCCATCAACAATATTTCTGATTTTTAATCTTTTTAGCCAGTCCTAGATCAGGTGCCATCTTGTTTACCATTACATGATTTCGAGCCCCTCCTTTTCAGGCAAGTTAAAATGATGCACTTGATCAGTCACATGACATTACAGACAGGAAATTAACAATCATCAGCCGGTACATCATCACTGCATATGATTATTTGGATGCCAAATTATCCCAGATTATGTTTGACTGAAATGAGTGAAAAGGGAAGTTTTGTGATAAATTGTATTACTAAGTGAGTATACCCGTGAAGATCTGGGTTAGAATTGGTCTTCAGTAACCCATGTTTGTCATAAGAGACGACTAACGGGAACGGTGGTCAGGCTCGCTGACTTGGTTGACACATGTCATCGTATCCCAATTGCTTAGAACGATGCTCTTGATGTTGATCACTAGATGGTCTGGTTCAGACACAATTATTTACAGACCGCCACCATATAGCTGGAATATTGCTGAGTGCGGCGTTAAACAACAAACGAACCAACCAACCAACTTAGTAAATAATTTACAACATAACTGGAGCAGCAAGTGGCGAATACTTGGATGTCTCCTGGGGCTTCAGGGGCTTCTCTTGACGAATCAGAGCAAGGAACTAATGTTGGATGTAACAAATTACAGGTTTCATCATACCCAGATAATTGCTCAATTTCTTCTCTTTTTATTTTGGGGCGGTGGGGTAGCCTAGTGGTTAAAGCGTTGGCTCGTCATGCCGAAGACCCGGGTTCTATTCCCCACATGGGCACAATGTGTAAAGCCCATTTCTGGTGTCCCCCGCCGTGATATTGCTGGAATATTGCTAAAAGCGGCGTAAAACTAAATTCAGTCAGTCAGTCTTTTTTATTTTATTACAATTAGCACCATTATTTGAATTCCCATTTGTGTACAAGCTTTTTGAAGTGAATTTAGTAGGAATACATACTGACATCAAAATGTTATATTTTATGAATAAGAACAGACTTGTCGAAGCTATTATGTTCATTCTGAAAGGAAGAAATTAACATTTTGTTTGCATTTACTGCATAATAAGCACAAATCACCAAACATTTACTAATTTATCAAATTGCAGTCAGATATTTGAATTCATTTGAACATGTCAAAAATTGATACACTGATGTAAGATTGTATGTAACAGTGATATGCGGCTTCATTTGCTGAACCAGTAACAAATACTTGAACCACGACTTGCACTCTGTATGTGATATATGTTCATTCTGTCATCCAGCTTCAACAGCTGGACCACGTAACAGGTTTATACATGTGTCAATACAAAATAAAAACTAGTTACAGTAGTAATACATAACTTACAGGGGCTGTCTCAAAAGTTTTGATGCAATTTTCACTAGACTTGTTTTTAGTTTGGACACTGACCACACCATCAAATGAGGAATCAAAATAAGTAATCAAAAATCATTTCAGTTATGGATTGCACAGTGAGTTTTGAAAATTTACTTAGAATTTTTCAAACAATGTTAAAAGACCTGTAGTTAAAACTGTAGGAATCAGCGAACATATTCAGATTTAATCTATATACGTGTATAATGTTTGAAAAAGGGTATTCAATGAGTGATGTACAAATGAAATGCAAATGAATCTGTGCAACTGTCATGTGCTCAGGCAGAACATTAGGAAACAACAGTGTTCAGAAATTCCATGCATGCTTTTGAGACAGCCCCTGACCTGTGATTATAAGGTGCTGTCAGCTGATGAAGCTCATGTATATTGGATATTCAATATCAACACAGCTTTACTCGTTTTCAGGATCTTCTATTATTTACAGTCAGACATAGAGTGTGATCTGTAGATTTGAAATAGCAGACAAAGTATACCAGGTTTGATGGTTTTACCTTGCATAAGCTGTGACAGTATAGGTGTAATGACTAAATTTGACAATTATTGATACCAATTTGTTGTCTTTGATACTTACATTTAAAGAAAACGGAAATGATAACATAATAGTAGTAAGTACTTTGTCTTTAACAACTCTGTTGTGCACTTTTATGTTTTATCATTTTGTGATGGCGTTGTCAACCTAGAGATTTGCAATCAAGAGATTGTTTGCTTTCTGTGGTATGTTTTAGTGCTAGGTTAAAATTTCTGAACGAAGGCAGTGAAGAAATAAAGCTGGATTGTTTTATATGTGAGTGAGTTTTGTTTTACGTGGTGACCTTATTTTCAAGTCACCACGACTCTTGACCACTTTTCCAACTCTTGTTAACACGATGTCTCATGAACTGTTGTACCCAATGTCTTCAAATTTGGTGACAGCCTACATTGGGGGATTACGCAGACACCGGTTGATTTTGGTGACCTTGACATTATGTTCAAGGTCACCCCACTACTTTGACCACTTTTCAAACTCTTGTTAACGCGATATCTCATGAACTATTTTGGTGGCGACCTTATTTTCAAGGTCACACTTTTCAAACTCTTGACAGCCTACACTGGAGGATTACGTAAAACCAGTCGATTTGGGTGACCTTGACCTTATTTTCAAGGTCACGACACTGACCACTTTTCAAACTCTTGTTAAGGCGATATCTCATAAACTGTTGTACCCAATGTCTTCCGAATTTGGTGACAGCCTACACTGGGGGATTACGGAGACAACTGTCGATATTGGTTACCTTGACATTATCTTCAAGGTCACCATGCCACTTTGACCACTTTTTAAACTCTTGTAAACGCAATATCTCATGAACTGTTGTACCCAATGTTTTCAAATTTGGTGACAGCCTACATTCCGGGATTACACAGACACCAGTCCATTTTAGTGACCTTGACCTCCTTTTCAAGGTCACCACACCACTTCGACCACTTTTCAAACTCTTGTTAACGCAGTGTGTCATAAAACATTGTACCCAATGTCTTCAATTAAGTTGACAGCCTACATTGGGTGATTATACAGACACCAGTCATTTCAGTCATCTTTTATTCACAAAAATATAAAAAGTAGTAAATATGTTATAAATATTTCTACCCGCGAAGGTCCGGGTTAGAATGAACCTTCAGTAAACATGCTTGTCGTAAGAGGGGACTAACGGGATCGGGGTGGTCAGGCTCGATGACTTGGTTGACATGTCATCGGTTCCCAATTGCGCAGATCGATGCTCATGCTGTTGATCACTGGATTGTCTGGTCCAGACTCGATTATCTACAGACCGCCGCCATAAAGCTGGAATATTGCTAAATGCAGCGTAAACTAAACTCACTCACTCACTATAAATATTTCATTCTTCTTTAGCGGCGGGGGACGTTGCCATATGAGTGGCAAACACATGTTACTTTTTACTTTTTTAGTAAGTTCACACATATGCAGATGAATATTGTGAACTGAAGAATTCAGAATCTTGTCGCAGGTTGAGACATTTGATCAGCAATGTCAAGGCCGTTCTGCTAGTAGCCTGAAAGACCATTTGTGTACCCAAGAAACTTTTAGTGTCGATCATTTATAGTTGCTCACTACATCAATCACTGGATTATTTACAAGAGTGCAGCATGCATTGGTAAACAAGCAATCAAATTTAAGGTTGAGGCTGAATAATTCAAAATGACATTGTCCTTATATGGTCGAAATAATACGGACGTAACAGTTAACTCCACAGTTATTGTGACCTGTTTGGGAGTCAAGGTCACTATTAATGACATTTGTAAGGGTATCATGTTTGCTTTTTTCACGAAAATGGCTTTCTCTGAGAATATAAGTATTATTTATGTTGTGGTTACATCAAATGAATATTCATTTATGATCTTATGTAGTAGTTATAGTAACACCTGACTTTCAGACATACCGTATTGGGCTCCTGTTTTCCTCACCACGTGTCATAAACCAGAAGTGCGCAGCAGGAGATGGTGTATCTGGTTTCATGTCCTGGTTTTTCACCTGAGTGAATGTGATGGCATTAGACTGAAAATCCCTGTCTGTATGTGTGTCTCTGTCTGTCTGTCTGTGTGTGTGCGCTGTGCGCGTGCAATCTCTTTTGGATATACACTGGCGAAGATACAGGTTAGAATTGGCCTTCAGCTTGTCATGTTTGTCGTGAGAGGCGACTGACGGGATCAGGTAGTCAGGTTCCCTGACTTGGTTGACACTTATCATCTTATCCCCATTGTGTAGATCGATGATCATTCTGTTGATCACTTCATTGTCTGGACGGCACTCAATTATTTACAAACCGCTGTCATATACCTGGAATACTACTGAGTGCAACATTAAACAACAAACAAAATCATTTGGAAATGGCTAAAACTATGGTCTTGTCAAAGAATTGCGATTGTTTTTGCAGGAATCAAGTTCGTTTTTCTGTGTCGGTGTGCCAACATTTCTCCACAATGCCTGGCAAAGCGAAGTTGGCGTGTCACCATGGTCCCACCAACACATTTACTGTGACCACACCTATTGGCAACATGGAACTGATCAGCTGCCCGAAGGGTTTGCATTTCCTCAATCAAGGGGACAGCATCAATGATGACAACTTTAAGCCAGACTTAAGGTAATTGTCTGTAGCCTGCCTGCTGTATTTTGCAGAGACACAGGAACAGTGCATGGATTTGTAAATTTGTTGAATATGGGAGGCCACTGTTAGGTTAGGATAGGTTTTGTAATGGGAGGCAGTTGGACATTCACTCAGTGTTTAAGTGCAGACATTTTTTAAAACATGTCTGCAAATCCACTGACTCGCACAAATTGAAATTTGAAAATTAGGGGTAATTTATGCCAGAAATGGGTATTTTATTCCAGAAATGAGTACTTTCTGAGAGAACTCATCACTTTCACTATATACTTAGATGAATTTTTAAAAATATTTTATTTAGAAATGTTGAAATTTTACCTGAGAATTCCCTTGGCTGGAAGGTGCAGTGGCCGAATGGGTAAGATCAGACTTTGTGTGCTGGCAATTAGGTGCCTGACTCTGAGACTGTGAGTTGGAATCCCAAATGGGACTCAACCTGATAAAAGCATTAGAACCAGTACTTTACTGAGAAAGTGTAATCCCAAATATAGCATGTTAAATCTGACCCCTTTCTAAAATGGCATTGTGTATTTATGTTGTATGAGATGCACTCCAGGGAGCTATATCAAACACACAGTGCTTTGCACAAGCAGACAGGACTGGCAGGTCACAGTGCTTTGCATGCTGTAACCCTACAATAGGCAGTGGTTATCAGCATGGTGAACCCTAAACTACATGGTGAACTACCTGTTTCTGTTTGAGGAATAAGGATTTATCTAATGTCTTGATCCTTGATACTCTAGTCTGAAGTCAGATTTTTATTGGTACATGTTTGTACATTCGAGGAGTGCGTATCTGTAGAACCTGATGCAGACATTAACCCTTTCAGCAGCACTAACCCGTCTCTTCCTCTGTGTAGTGTGAAGGTGGAGGTGAAATCCCAGCTGTACCAGGACAACGGCTACACCTACAAGCCAGCCCTGGTCTGTGTCGATTGGTTGACAGCTTACTTTAATCAGGCTAACCTGGAGAAAGACCCAGTCATGCCAACAATATGTCCATCAGTTGTCAAAGAGGGTAAGGATTTAGGGGCAGGTGTAAGCTGCTGCTGTTCCCTGTGTGGCTTTGCATCCCTTAGACAGGAACCTAGGATCATCTCCCCTACTTGGTTTGGCAGCACCAGACCAGTGTTATTGTAAATGTCTGAGACCTACATCACTTGGGGCTTTAATCTTGCATTAAGCTGACATGCTGTAATGTAACTGTACAAAGTGCTGTTAAACTGATCTCATAACAGTATTGCTGTCTGATCATCTCGATCAACCCGTGCAGATCCGATTAAAATTGGTCTTCAGCAACCCATGCTTGTCGTAAGAGGCGACTAACAGGATTGGGTGGTCAGGCTTGTCAACTTGGTTGACACACATCATCGTATCCCAATTGTGTAGATAGATGATCATGCTGTTGACTGTCTGGTCCAGACTCCATTATTTACAGACCTCCGCCATATAGCTGGAATATTGCTGAGTGCAGCTTTAAACAACAAGCCAACCAACCAACCAATTATTGAGTGATTTTTAATGGCTTATAGTCAAAGGTTGTATGAAGCAAGTTGACAAGACAACCATGTGCTCAGGAATCTAATTATGCTAAGGCATGTCATCATTATGCCTACCAAGGTAAACTCACAGACTGCAACAAATCATCATACTTATTCAAAGGTGATGGAGGGACATACTGTTCACCATGTGATGGCATACTGAAATGTACTGAAGAGGAACACTTTTTATGGATAGACAACTTCTTTATTGCAAAAGATGTGACGTTTCAGTGTATAGTCTGTTTGGCTCAAAAGCGGACTGATGAATTGCAATCTAACTCGAAAACTTATAAACATAAAATACTCAATGAAACACAGGAGTGCAGAGAAAGGGACATCAACTCTGAGAGGTGTTTGAAAGGATATGTCCTGAAAATAAAGTTGTTAATGAATCAATACTATTTTGTCGAGACACAGGTTAATGAATCAATATCTTTGTCGGCACTTGTGCACGTGCTTCTATAACACCTGGCTGTCCCTTTCTCTGCACTCCTCCCTCGTAACAAATAGTGAACTGTGTCAATATTTTAATGATAGTTTGTTAAACAACTTTTTTAATTTTAGGACATAAATTCTGCAAACAAATCACAGAGTTGGTCTGATGTTTTGATTATGATCAGCGTTTCATTGAGTATTATATGTTTATTAGTTTTTGAGTTAGATTGCAATTCATCGGTCCGCTTTTGAGCCAAACGCACTATAGATGCTAACACCATTAGCAAGCACGTTATTACAGGGATGGCAACAGGAAAATCTATTTTCAGCAAAGAACTTAGTATTGTGCCATCGAATGGGGCTTCAGGGTTTCTCAACGGATTTAGATGATTCACAGAATTGATCAATTTGAAATAAAATCTGCAGATCAGCAGAAAATTGCCATCTCTGTTATTATCACTTGCTTGATAATGGTGTTAGCATCTACACCGAAATGTTGCATCTGTTGCAATAAAGAAGTAGTCTATCCATAAGAAATGTTCCTCTTCATCATGCCAGCTTCTAAATTCCACTTAAAGAAGAACTGAAATGTGTTGTCAAAATTCTTGCAGGGTCATTTACAGCTCGAGTTTGGAAAACTCTGCCGGAGCAAGTTGGATTTGGACAGACCATATCATACGGAGAACTCGCCAAGCTTTGTGAAAGCCCTAGAGCTAGCCGAGCAGTTGGTATGGCAATGGCTACAAATGTCATTCAGCTGATAATGCCATGTCATCGTGTCATCAACAGCAATGGGCAGCTGGGAAATTATGCATGGGGCAAGAAAAACTCAGTGAAAGACTGGCTACTGCGATACGAAGGGGCCATACATTGACAGTATGACCGACATGTTGGCATTTGGTCCAGTGCGTTGTGGCCATAGATGAGTTGCCTGGATATCACATCATATATTGTAACCATTAAGGTGATTCGCTATATTATGTTTTGGCTGCTATTCTGCAAAGTCCCTCATTCCAAGTTATGTTTGTGTGCCAATTAGGTGTAGTGTCTTCGTGGTATTTCTGTAATGATTGTATGAATAGGAGAGATGTGACAGTAAATTGCATAACATTTAGTACAGGATAGTACAATATGATACTATTATGTTGTTCATTTTTGTTTTAGGTGAAAAAAATAAACACAAATGGAAATGTACATTTTTTAAAGCATCTATTTTATTTAAAGTGAGGCCCATAATCCAACTGCAGTATTTGCATTGCAATCTGCAGCACTTTTATTTTTACATACCACATCTGGCAATCAGCTACTTAGATCTTGCCACGGGATATCTTCATGTATGCTCTGTCTAGAAGGAAATGTTAATTCAACAGTTTCAAGTGAATTTACTTTTGAAATGATAGCTTGTCAGGAACAAGTGCTTGGGCAAGCCTTTTCAGGATATTCTGATTAACATGTACAAACTTTCCTAACACCTTAACAGTCAAATTCAATTACAGTGTATTATTAATCTATTTTCTATCATAAATATCCTGGGTTTATTCACCTCTAAGCTTTATAAGTGACATCACCATCTCCAATCTGTTACTGTTAATTTTACACAGAATTGCCTTTTGATTGGACAGCTATTTTTAGCATTGTATGTTGAGCTTGGGGCAGCTGTCCCAGGTATTTACCATAACAGAATGAATGTATAAATCACTGGATAATCAAGTGTGGCTGGAAGATCAGAAGTGCCTGCCTATATTTGAGATAGAATTTTTTCATATTTCCTGCTGTGAGCAGTTGTGTGAAAGCATTACCTTCCTTGTGAACAGATTAAAGTGCTAAAATGTGTTTTTGTCTCTTAAGCTAAAGGGGATGGTATAAGTGCTTGTGATGTAGTCAGGATTTATGACTATTCATCTTATCTTGTATTTTATGTTTAATTAGTATCTTTTGTAAACCAGTGAAGCTGTCCTCCAGTAGTTGGGCAGTATTTCACTTTTGTTACATGTTTACTTATTTTGTCAAGTCTTTTGAATCAAGATACACCTTGTTTGCAACAATTACAATGTGGTGATTCTTGATCACAAGTCCCTAGTATGCCATGCTTGTAGGGGTGGTGGGGTAGCCTAATGGTTAAAGTGTCCGTTCATCACGCTGAAGACGCAGGTTCGATTCCCCCACATGGGTACAATGTGTGAAGCCCATTCTGGTGTCCCCTGCCGTGATATTGCTAAACTATTGCTAAAAGCAGCATAAAACCGTACTGACTGAGTCCATGCTTGGAGTGTGACTTGTGTTACGGTGTCATTGACAATTGATTGTTGTCTGGGTCAGTTTTCAGGTCACAGATGGAATATCACATAGCAACACTCCTCAGATAAAATATGTAATTCACACAGAGTCCTGGTATTATGATTAAGGGGAGACAAGTCATACATACCATGAACAAAACTGCAAGAAAATAAAGAATCAAGATTATAGACATTAAGAAGAATATATGTGATATATATATATAAACATAAGAGGAAACTGAATTCTCTCCATGTTACAAATATTGTATGTCACCCTTACCTGTTTTGATTTCAAAGTTGAATATCAACCGGAGCATTACAGGAGAGGTAAAACCTTTCACTTTATTCTAGACATGTCTGTGAAATAAACAGATCCAACACTCTTCAATTTATAATGTTTTATTTTGCAACAGTAACTGTAAAAGATTTAACAGCTTTAAAACAGCCACATGGTTCTTTCTATAAAGGAGAGATACTTTGTGGTGCTGGTGGTTTTCAACTTCTCAAGGTATGGCATGAAAACCAATCAAAGGAACACTGAAACTACTATGAACATTTTGCCAGTGCTTAACTTTCTCAAGCAAATGTTAATGAATGAATAGCTGGATTGCAAAAGATAATAGAAACAAAGATTTGAAATACACAATGCCATTTTAGAAAGTGGTCAAATGTAACATGTAATATTTGGGATTACGCTTTCTCAGTAAAGTATAGATTCTAGTACTTTTTTGGGTTGAGTCCCATCCGGAATTCGAACCCACACCCTGAGAGTCGGGCACCTAATCGCCAGCACACAAAGTCAGACGCCTAGACCGCTCAGCCACCAGGGCTTCAACAAAAATGGAAATCGGGACAACTGGTAGTCTAGACTGCAGACTTTGTGTACCCTTCTGATAAGCGTTAATTGGCACGGCTCCAACGGCCAAAAAGCTATGAAATACACAATGCCATTTTAGAAAGTGGTCAAATGTAACATATGTTATATTTGGGATTACACTTTCTCAGTACTGTGGGAGCCGTGCCAATCAACCCCCAAAATGTACTAGAATCTATACTTTACTGAGAAAGTGAAATCCCAAATATAACATATGTAACAAAGATTTCATCAGTAATCACATTCTGCACAATATTCTAGTCATAAGCAATGGTGTTTTAACCCCCCAAAAAGTAAAAAGGGAATTTTGAGTACTAGATTCTTTTATACAGTAATGTTTTCTTTCATTTAAAAATGAAACTGTATGCAAACCAACAAGAGGGTACATTCAAAACCTCTAAATTTACAACAGCAGGTTATCTTATAATTATCCAATGTCAAGCAACACTGTACAGAAATGCAGGTAACCAGAGCAAGGAACGTTTGCTCTTTACACTTACCTCATCATACAAAGTTCAATCAAATGGCCTACTGGAATGTACCTGTGTCCACATCTTGACTATTGTGAGCCGTGAGTTTAACGTGATGAAGGATATAACCGACTGGATGCCATTATACCATCACACTAACAGCTAACCTAGCATGAAAGAGATAACAAAATACACTTACCTCGAGAAAATGTCCATACAGAGGCTATATATCTGATCTCTCACAAGACTTCTGTTTTAATTTGCAAGATTAACATGGATGTGGAAGATGCCATAGGGACCAAAAGTTAACTGATCGATGAGCAGAATTTGGAAATCCATATATTCAATCTGCCTGTAATACTGGAATAGCTTACTGGAATACAGATTAGCCAGTATCGCAAAAACAGAAGTACATGAAACAAATAATTCTCCAATTATAGAAAAGTACCCACTGATTATATGTACATCTTGCAATAACCAACAGGTTTTGGTATTCGGGTCCTGATGTTCAACAGATAACAAAAATCAACTTTGGGAATGGTTATAATTTTGCTGATCCACATATCATCATACCCCACCTGCCCTACATGCAGCATTGTTCACGCTCCCCACAAATAATACATGACTGATCCCTAAATCCTAAATAGTGTTCAAACTTTTTACCCTTCTATTTGGAAAACCATATAACAGTAATTCTTATTCAGGCCCCCATAGTTTCAGCAACTGCCCCTCTTTTGCTATCTTTTTCTTTTCCTGCTCAGGGATGGCAATTTTCTGCTGATCCGCAGATTTCCACCAATTATATTTCAAATTGACCAATTCTGTGAATCATCTAAATCTGTTGAGAAACCCTGAACCTCCCCATTCGATGACACAATGTTAAGTTTTCAGTTGAAAGTAGATTTTCCTGTTGCCATCCCTCCCTGCCTGCCCCACCCCCCTTCCATTACCTCATCCTAACAGACACACACAACATACCCAGAGTGCCACCCCATGAAATAAATTACCAGTGCCTCTTGGTTTTGTATACTAAAAAGACAAACCTGGGGCCCAATCCACAAAACCTTTGTAGCACCGTGCCATTCGTAAGCCTATGATAAAGTTTAGAGTTACGATGGGTCGTAACGCCATGAACGCTTTTTGGATCGGGACCCTGATGGTCTGTGATCAATTAAATGGCAATAAATTGATTCAGGTGTGTCTAACTTTGAGCAATCTGCCAATATACCAATGTTGGTACATACCAATTCCATCAACTCACTGTATACACATGCAGATTAATAGTTTTAGTATGAGTCATTGAAGAAACTGCACAGATAGAAAATTTTGACTGAACCAACTAGAGTCTGTAAATGTTATAGTTTAAACATGTTAGTAATTGCATTAATCTAATTTCACGGGGTGAACATCAGTAATAAATGTACATGTGACTAGATGAACTCTCATGGCTAACATAGTCAAAGGGTAAAATAAACTGTCTAAAGCGTTTAAATATGATAAAACATTGAAATTTCAAGTTTAACTTTAAAGAAAACAAAGTATTCTTTGGCTACCAACAGATACTGGTTTTGAAACATTCCATATGGAGTTTGCCACATACACGGTTTGAAAAGGTTAATTAATCTACCAAGTGACACTGCAGCGACTATGCTCGTGACAAGCTTTGTATGCCTGGGACACTGATCAGGAATTCTACCATTTTGTGTGGCCTAGTGCTGAACCATGTGATAAAGGTTTGAGTTTCAATTTCGTAATACCGGTATAGGGAATTTATATGATCTGTCCTAAACAATGGCAAACTATACTACTCAAAGTCTCCCAAGGATCAAGTTTTGGTGATATAAAAAATATCATCCAAAAAAGACCGATTGAAATATTTGGGTAATGGGTAACCCCTTAAGAACCCCAATTTCATGAATAACACAGAGGCATACAGCCATTCGCACAGAATCATTGCACATCAATTTCAGAGAGCACATGTAGTACTGAGGATTGCAACAACTGGATCACCCTCTCATGATGCCCAGTTCTTCTGGCAACTGGGCGGTGGAGGTAGCCTAGTGGTTAAAGCGTTCGCTCATCACACCGAAGACCCAGGTTCGATTCCCCACATGGGTACAATGTGTGAAGCCCATTTCTGGTGTCCCCTGCCATGATATTGATGGAATGTTGCTAAAAGTGGCGTAAAACCATAGTCAGTCAGTCAATCAATCAGCCTTCTGGCAACAGTACAGGAACTCTGCAATGCTCTTACTGAAGAGTGGAACAATGTTCCATTTTACCACAGAAACTCCATGGTACCAAGCTTTCATCCATCACATATGTAGTGCTAAGAGTGTTTTTCTTTTGGCAATGACCTTGTTTTCATGATTTCTTAGTGTTTTAGTTTTGGTCAGATACTTCCATTTTAACGGTTGATCAGAGAGTATTGGCCACATGTTCTTGGTTCGCGTTATGTGCCAAATGACAACCGACTTATGACTTTCTACAATATTGCTCTTTCAACAGCTGCAAACAATTTGACTTATTATCTTTCAAAGTGTCAATCCTTAGCAAACATTGAGTAGTATATGTTGGCGAGACCAATGACAACACTAAAATGTCTGTACACCTCACCAAAATCACAGTTAAGTCATAACTATTTACAAGTACAAAAGGCTGAAATAAACCTCATTCTTCATAAATTGCACCTACTGTACATGTTAACAATTGCACACAGGTAAGACATATAAAATGAAACTTAAGTAAAGTGCCCAAATGACACCACCTTAAAGGGATGTTTCCTACATAATGATAAAACGTGTCATCTAATCTATGCTAAAACTTAAGAAATCTTTAACAGAAAATTCTGTTCTTCGTGAGGATAGCATAAAGAAACGGCAAATTATCTCAACCTTTAGTGACAAGTTCCTTCAGCATGGTAAAATGAATCACAGACTAAGTCTCTTCAAACACCTATTTTCTTTTATACTACAAATAATCCACTGTAACCTCAGTTTTTCACCAAGTTCTGGGTACTCCAGAACTGACCTTGGGATCAGATCAGACTCAGAAGTAAAGATACATCTACTATGGTTGTTTTACCAGCATGGATGTATGAAAAATAACCAGATGGTAAAGACTGATGGATAAATATTACACGAAACTGCTAATTCAAAGCCTGTCTTGCAAAGTGATCATGGTATTGTAACCATTTATTGATTTTTGGACTATCTGGAAGATTTAAATGAGGTATTTAGGTATGTGTAAGCAGCGCTGTAGACAAAATCAGAAATCTGGAACTTGCATCAACAGTAGCATTATAATCATGATTGTTTCAAGTTACCTTTTGAGGTTATGTTAACTGTATGCATAATTCATGCATGTTTGTAATACTATGCAGACACTCAGGTTGAAAAATATTTCCCATTTCATTTTGAAATGCTGCAGCATAATAATATTACTGTAAATATGTGAATAGACACTTTATGTTTTAATAATGCAAATCCATAGTGAAAAGAAAAAAGCAAGACATGCAAATCATGAAAAGATATTTTGGCACATGCATCCACAAATAAATAAATGGTTTCACCCCTTAAATCAGACTTACAATCATAAACAACATGGTTTGAAAAAAGATGGTGTAGGGGGTGTTAGAGAGAAGCTTACAAACATACTCATTATAAAATTAGTAAAATTCCTCAATATTTGATGTTTTAGCACTTGGGTTAGTGCATGAGATTTTGGCAGAAGTAATATACATAAAATGCGTAGTTTTGTATATGCTTTCAGTACATTGTCACAATGTCCACTTCACTAGTTGTTCATCCTGGAGCAGGGAAACGGTTGTCTGGTGGTAGCATCAGATTCGAACAAAATACAACCTTGTTCTTGAGAAGACGCATTTCTGTCCAGAGTGTGGCATTCTGGAAATCAACTTGGACTGGACTCTCCAGGACTGAACTCAGTGCTGTTTGATACTACTGTGCTATTTCTTGCTGTTTTTTGTGTGCACTGCTATCACTTTACCTCGTTCTGGCTGAAAGAGGAAATAGCAAAATATTGCAAAACCAGGATTGATGAGATTCATATGAGAAGGCATAGTATACTCGTGAAGGGTATTAGATTCTTGCTTTAGCAAACCTGATACCTACTGTTGGGGTCCTTGGGGGCAGGTACTATAGGATTGTAACCAAGGTACCTTTGTGAATACAAAAATCCTCCCTAAGGACAATCAGTGTATAGATATGTACCCTGACAAGGAAACATAAAGTGTAGAAGTCAGGACGAGTCTATGTTCATAGTCATAGACTTCTACCCATTATATTGTCTTTGAGGTAACATTTCTATGTGTCTAGAGGTCAGGACAAGTCTATGGTCATAGTCCACTCATGAAGATCCAGGTTAGAATTGGTCTTCAGCAACCCATGCTTGTCGTAAGAGGCAACTAACTGGATTGGGTGGTCAGGCTGCTGACTTGGTTAACAAAAGTCATCGTAACATAACTGCATAGATTGATGCTCATGCAATTGATCACTGGATTGTCTGGTCTAGATTCTATTATTTACAGACTGCTGCCATATAGCTGGAATATTGCTGAATCCAGTGTTAAACAACAACCAAACAATATGTTCATAGTCAAGGCTTCTAGTAAGCCAAACTCTGATACATTCATCACTGTATAAGCAACTTCATGCTCTGGGTTTTACACGATGCACATATGTGCGTCCAGTACACACAAATGAAGAAAATGGAGAATGGATGCAGAAAAAATTTCAATGCGTCCAGAGGGAGTGTACAATATTATTCACCATACCCACAACACATCTGTGATTTTGCAAAGTTTTGGGTTTCTTTCAGAGCAGTTGCATGCATCATTTCATCTATCACTCCACATGTTCAATGATTAATTCCAGGCTCTAAAACAATTATCAAAACATACAGTTCTCTACACCGTTACTTCACAGGACCCTCATATTGCCTGCAAAGACCCTTAAATCTAATAACTAGGGGTCCCAAGGACCCCAATGTTTGTGAGTCAAAGTAAAACCCTGATGCTGCTGGTTATTATCCCTGAATCTTTCTTGATCAGCAAACTTGCAGAGGACAAGAATGGGTAATGTAACATTTTGATCAATTGATAAACCCATATGTCTGCTGCTGCAGTGAAAATACATTGCACAATATGCTTGTATGTATGTACATTTCATAAGACTAAACAGATTTTAAAATGGAATATACATTAGATTTTTCATACACAATTTTGTATTTAAGTGTCAGTAAAGTTGCTGGAAATGTATAATGTATGTACATTGTTTCTTCCAGCCCAAACAATGTCATATTGTCTGTTAACCTGGTACTCACAGGAAGTATTTTGAAAGCACATGTGAGATCTTCTGACACTATCATGACACCAGCTGCATTGTCAAACTCTCCACAGTAGTTGGGAGCACTGAACAGTGTCACAAGCTGCAATACAGTATAGCTTCATGTCAATTTAATGTCTATAAACATTTGAATGTCACTCTCAACAATACTGAAATTAGATCTGATTATCTGTATTTTAATATTCAAGTCTGAGTTCAATAATGGAACTGAGCTAACAAAACTTTTTTCACTATACCCATTCATGTCAAAATTGAAGTAAAGTTAATTCCCTTTGACCATCGTCACCACTAATCACTACTACTCAGTGTTAGAAATTTCATTACCAATATCACAAGTACTCAAATCAAATGAAGCCTTAAACCTGAAAGAGAACAATGACCCATATTTTTCTGGTAACTTACATTTTCTTATCTATATGAATCTAATTTACTTTTACCCCAATTAACCAGAAACAATGTCATAGTTATACACCAAGTTATGAAGGTCTCAACCATGAATACAAAAAGAAGGCAGGCCATTGAGAAATCTTCAAGTTTAAAACATTATGGGATTTATGACAGTACTGTGAACAGTAAAATATATATATGATGTATGCAGAGATGCCAACCCTAATTTAGCCCAATTAGTATTTTGGCCAAAAACTGATGCAAAAATTAGTATTAACTTTTCCAAAGAATTTTCATATTAAATAAAAAATGTAAATATATAGTCCAAGGCCTTGTTAAAACATTGTACTCACCTAAATCAGAAGCAAGTATCCACATATAGCTTGATACTGAATGAAATGTGGTTGAAATTTATTGTGTATGGTACATATGCTATTTGATAATTTAATTAAATGTATTATTTTTAAAAATCGTATATTTTTACTGCCATCGTAGTCGTGTATTTTTTGTTGTTTTTTTGTAACGAATACGATAAAATCGTATGGGTTGGCATCTCTGTATATGTAAAAGTAGTTACACCAGAGACATTCATACTCACCTTTCTCTTTTGGAAGAACTGATACCCATCCTCGACAACCTGAGAAACATAACATGAGAACAAACATTGCAGTGATTAAATACATCGTAAATTTGACAGTTAATCAAATCACTTCTCACCTAGTTGCCTTTACATCGATTTATATGATTTAAAGGATTTTTTCTATCTTGATAATCAAAAGAAATACTTTGTTGTGTAAGCAGCATTCAAGCTGTACAGCACAGGCCAGAGAAACCAGTGATTGATATCATCAGCAACATCAATGTATACTAGTGTAAAAATTATTGAGAGTATTTACACTAGGAGAGCTGCCACGTATCTAATGAATTAGGGGCTGTCTACAAAAAAATGTCTCTAGTCCTTCCTGAATTTCACCAGTCTCTGACTCGTGGACTAATGTAAAGTTTGAACCTTGGGTACAAATCTAACCAGCTGATCTATTGAGTTACCTCTTTATGACAAGCATAGGTTACTTGTGACCAATTCTAACCCAGAATTGTCTAATGGGGAATTTAAATGGCTGGAAAACAATGAATATTGTCAAACTAGCAAACTTACGTTAACTATCAAAACTGAGGGTTTTTATATATGTTTTACAAATATTGTGAATTCACACTAGTGATTTTCACGACAAAATTACTGATAACAGTAACTCTGGTATGAATTACTTCTCCCCAAGTTATAGGGTTCGAGTCAGTTAAGATCAACATAAGTTTATGAGTTTAGATGTAAACAAATAACGTCTGCTAAAGCTGACCTAGAAAAAATGCTTTTCCTTCTGAAAAAGATATTACTGCCAAACATTCTAAACCAATGTCAGAAAACACCTAAACAAGCACATAATACATCAGTAAACCTTTTTAAAGAATATCTGACGGCTCAGGGTACAGAGCAACACTAAAGGTACATCAGACCAGATACCCTCATGATACGGTTCCAACTTATATTATCCTGACTGATGTAAGAATGTCCATCTCTGATTGGTTCACATGACCTTGGACAAATTACCATGTATGCCCTTACACCGCCCATGCAGGGTACACATCTTTGCGAGGGAGAATAAATCATTTATATCCCACCCAAGCATGCATCCACAGCAGTCAGTGAACCGTGAACCAGTGGTTCGGATCGACTAGTCGGTACGATGTTAGTAAAAGATATGATTAAAGTTCAGTTTGTCTTAATGTTATCTTTACATATTGAAAGATTTAAACATTTGGTGAGATAAATTCGTTGTAGCATTATGATTCGGGGTATACAGGGATTTATGCCTGCCTCGTTAGGTTTTATCCACCTAGCCTCTGGCAACTACAACCTGAATAGGAAAATCTAACAAATGATGCTAACCAATTTTTTTCGATGATTGGTTGTTGGTATTGAACCAATCATCAATTGTGAGATTTCAACCAATTCCCAACACTACTTACCTGGTGAGCCCTGACAATGAGACTGCAGTCAAACTTTTTCAGAAAGTCCTTGACAACATCCCCTCCAAATGTGTACGACACACCTCTATCATTCTCTCCCCAGCCAGTGATGTCCTACAACATATATATTGGACTTGTAATGAAACAATGATTAACAAGTCTTCATTTCACCAGTAAAAACAAACCTGGTTATGTGGCAAGGAACATGTCACCTGTAATAAATACTAATAGCATGATGGCTATATATCGTCAATAGGGTAACACAGCATTTCAGTTTACACTGCTATACTTGACAGTGGTTTGGGTGTATTGGGCCATAATGGTATTTTTTTCATTTGATTTTTATTCCATGTATAATTGGTATTTAAAAACTTTTCTTTCAGATCTCTTAGATTTCCCATCCATCTTTTCTTGCCTTAGCAGCTTAATGTCTGAGATTATGTCAATGTCATGTTAGATCATAACTCACTATCCTCCCTTGTTTTGACTATCATCATATCACTTCAAACTTTAGAAAATATGTATGTATAACACTGCTAATATAAACAACAGATAGGTCTTTTAAATGAAATCTTTACTACTCAGGCCTTTGAGAATGTCCTGTTAAAACATTTCTATATTCAACTAAAAATGAAGTCAATATCAAAGCAACACAAATGTTCTTCTGAACTGAACATGTGTATTTATTTTTACATTCCATTTTACTGATGAAAATAACCTAAAAGATGATATTAAATTGTCTCAGTTAAGTTTGGTGGCTACTGAGAGCTATCTAAATGAGTCAAAGTTTTCAAACTTCAGGATGAGTAATACATGTAGATAAGAATAGTCATAATAAACAGACATTTATTTTTTACCTACAGACATAACACATAACCAGGGCTCCAGATAAGGGTCGTATCGACGTATGTACGGATAAAAATATGCACAATATGGTGGGAAATAATTTGGAAAATGTAGCAGATACGCACCACAGCAATGGTGTACGGTCTTAGAATCATTTACAGACGTATTTATCTGAAAAAGTATTGTTTTATTGTTCACTGACCTGTTTACACAAGAGTAGCAATGTTATGGTGCATATATGAAACGAAACACAAGATTACTGATACTCCATTAAATTCCATTCAGTACTTTAAATGTACCCTTAAGGTTTTCCAGTACTCCTACATTAAAAAAATAAGGAGTATGTACTCCTGATGTTGAAAAATTATCTGGAGCCCTGACCTAACAATGTCATCCAACACTATCACTTCACAACTCCCTCACCTCATCAGGGTCTGACCACAGCAGATCACAAACCAGACCATGATCTGGGACATCAATAGGACGCTCAATATCCTTGATCTGAAAGTAACAAAGAAAACTAGAATAGTGTTGATATGAAGGAAATCTATAAATATTGTGCCCAAAGGCCAACATGAATCAATTAAACAGTAAAATAACTCATTGACCATGTAGGGGAATATTCTAGAATCCCCATCCCTAACTTGACTTAAATTCATGCTAGGTGATGCAAACCCCTTCAATCATCCTCTGTATCTGTGTATGGAACTAATTACTAGAACTACTATAGGAGATGTAAGATTGCTGACAGAAGTCGTGCAATCAGGAAGCTGATCTGTGAATGTGATGTGCAGTTGAGGATAGTGTGCTGGTGGCAGTCTTTCTTCAGACTGATAAAATACTAGTATGCAGCTGCTACCAATAGGTTTGATTAGTACCATGACTTATTTGAATTTGATTGACCACGGTTATCAAACTGCAATATTATGTTTCTGAATAAATACAGCATATTTGACAATGTCACATTACAACATCTAAGTGGACTTTGATCTCTCATGCTGCAGTTGACCGGTAAAAGTCAAACATACAAGTGAAAAGCATCAACAATGATGTTATAGCAAAGTCTGTCCCTTGTCTAGCCAGGAATTTTGCAAATGTCATTGAATCCAGGACCTAAAAATACTAATTACACTATATACGCAAGATGACAACTTCATTATTCTATTATGCGACGGTTCCATATAGATCCTTATACCGTATAGATCAATTCTCATCAGATGACAATTCTATACATCATGAAACTCCCAGCTCCGCATTGATCTTGACCTAAGTTGACCATCATGTTCAGTAAATAATCTCTTTCGTGTTCATGGTCCAATGCTGAGTAGCCTGATTTAACATACATAAGTCGTTTCTCACTATGATCAAAGATTGCATAGTTGATATCCAAGATTTGTCTGTTTTAGGGTGAAGGGTGAAGATAGCATGTTATGTTAAGTTATTACATATATATATATATAGCAAAATATATGTTGCAATATCTGCTATTACCATACCTGGACCTAATCTGTTAAAAAACAACTTTGAATCAAGAACAATTCATCCTTCATCATAAGACCAGGACATTTTTGTTGGTCAAGTAAGCTCCCCTAAAAACAAGGTATGAAAAGAGTGAGAAAAATCTGAGGAAAATTATTGTTAGATCTAGGTAGCCAGTAGCACTCCCAAAAGGTTGATGCAGAGACTGTGCATATGTTTCTGAGCTGCCAGTTGTTCCCTGTACAATATCTCCAACCCCCATGACCACTACTGCCCATCAGAAATAGCAAATTCAGTTTATATACATGTACTCAAAACAGATACGACTCCTATATTTCCAGCAAATGGCATATAATACAATTACTACTTCCTTCTTGCAATCCATGCTTTCTGGTATAAGCCTTACACCTGTCCATTTGTTGCCATTCTATTGGTCGTCAGTCAAGGACTTACATTTACAAATATAAATACCCTCAAACCCTCTTAGGCAGTGTTCCATAAGCAAGAAATATTCAACAACAGCACTCAGTTGTTACAAAAACACCATGCTTATAATTATTGAAATTTTGAACACATACAGCTGCAACTAGAACAGCTTCCAATATATAGGAATACATCCATATTTCAAACTGGAGTGTTGTTTCCCTTCAGAGATTTAATGTCAAGATCACACCTGGATGAGATGAAAGAACTAGTGTTTGTCATGGAGGAAACGGCAGAATGGCTGTTACCTATAATTTCTGAGCGCTCATTATGTTCATAACTCCAACCTGCACCTACCTGTTGTAGATCAGAGAGATCAGGAGATAATCCTCCATGCATACAGAATATAGTGCTCTCCACAACAGCAGCTGAAACACAGACAAGTAACCTCAAGATGACACAAGATTAATGATTCCAAAACTAACTTGTCTAAGACATATCATTTTCAGAGATCATGTTTAATCCCAGGGCAATGGGGTAACCTAGTGGTTAGAGCTTTCACACCCAAAACCCAGGTTTCATTCCTCACATGAGTACAGCATGTTCCCTGATGTGATATTGCTGGAATATTGAAAAAACAGTGTAAAACTAAACTCATTCACATATATTATTCTCAGCTTGTTGACACCATGTGTCGGCTTCACCAATCGTAGATGTCTAAGAACTGCATCACCTTGAGCTTTCTTCCTACATTAGGGACCGTTCATAATTCATGGCTATCGGGGGTGAATCCCCCCGTGATGATGATTTTGAGGGGGGTCTCCCATTTGTTCTGGGGAGGTCATCAATTTTGTACACACGCATGGGGGGGTTGTACATTGTACATGCTTGTCCACAAAAAAATCACACCCACCCAACACCCCCCCCCCCCAAATAAATTATGAACAGTCCCTAAGTTCACATTCCATTACATCAAAGAAATGCTTTCCAAAATGGTATAAAACACAACTTACTCACTCAGGGATAGACTATATAGTTGGCTGATCATAACTTCAAGCCTGAAACCCAGACCTAGTCTTAAATAGTGTTTCGGGTTGATGAAGGGGAGGTAATATTTGGGGTATTTTTATTTCATATAATCTGTAGATAATATTTGTTAAAGGCTTAAGTCAGGTAAACTTAAAGTTTGGTACAGAAACAATCTACCCCTGGGATCACAGCCACACATTGAATGGTTGGTCAGTTGGTCAGCTATATGAGGGTCAGTAAATAATCGAATCTGGACCAGACAATTCAGTGATCAACAGATGATCATCAATCTACACAATTACGGTTACAATGACATGTGTCACCCAAGTCAGCGAGTCTGACCACCCGAACAACTTATTGCCTCTCATGACAAGCACTGGTTGCTGAAAACCACGTCGAAACTAGATCTTCATGGGTCCACACAGTGAATGGAACCTTGTCACCCACACTGAATGGAATTATGTCTCCATATTAATGACAGCAGCTGTTAATTGCTATACCAGCGCAGAAAGGTTCAGATACAAACTTGCTAGCACTTCAACCTAGCACTTTCTAACCTCAGATCACTAAAAGTAGAAAATGACTTTGAAGCAATGGGGAAAAAAATGTTGATAGCAATACATATTTACAGGAGGGAAATAAATCCCGCTCACAGTCATTAACAGATATATATCAATACATCAGTTTTAATAATATTTATCATGGGCGTCTGGACTAGCAAAAACTTCAAACAGAGTTTACCTGTAAATATAATGCTTTTATGAACCATTCTGAATCAATGAATTACTGTTTTGTTACTTGCAGAATTTCTGCTTCATTCTGTCATGTCATCATTGCTTTATTCTTTTGAAAAATATTAAATCAGGTATATACTGCTCATCATTATCAAAGACAATTACAGAGATAAGAGTGCATATGTGAGTAACTGTTGTGTAACGCTACAGTCAGCTCAGCAAAGTTCTAGCAATTTAGCATTGCACTGTGAACATTGAGTCTGAACAAGGCAAATCAGTGGTTGAATACACAAGCAGCGACCCAAGCCATTAGTGCATGATCACATGCAATCAGGCAAGTCACAGAGACTGACCACCTGGTCCAACTTGGACCAGTAATAGAGCTATTTTAACCTCACTCTTGAGCGGGGTTATGACAAATAAATTATCATGTTTATGAATCTAGCATTTTGTCAGAAATAGAACTACATGGTATTACTGGTATACTGATATACCACAAAACACTTTTCAAACATTATGTATTGTAACATTTTTTCTTTGAACGGGTATATTAGTTTAAAAAATATATGACGTCTTGTGAAAATATCTGTGGTTTTGACCTTCAAAGGCTTTCATTCACAACTGATGTTTTTCATTGTAATCAACTGACAAAACCGTATACTCTACATACTATACATTGTAAAAAATGAAAACAGAATGTGTAACTATCAAACTTAATTTTGAGATTGCTGTTATCAGAACCATAACATTGTTAGGGCCTTTGTATGTAGAATATAGGCTCTGTATGTAGAATCAGTGTCACTGTCACTTTAGCTCCCAACATATCACAACTGTTATTGCAATACAGGAACCAACATCGCGATTTTCAATATAATTTACTTGTCAATACACAGTCCTAGTCTGAACCAATCTGTTATTGCCCACTTGGACAACATACTCCATGACTAAGACTATTGTTTCTCATTTTCTCTTCTTCATTGTTTCTCTTTTTAACACAGAATATCAATAGGGGCCTAAAAAATATTTGTTGTGGTTTTGATTACCCGACCGACCCTTAAATTCTGGTGCCAACCCTAGTTTTTTTAAGAGGTATGAGTAAAATAAGTTTTCAGATACAAATGTTTTTCCCCGACATCGGTCTTTCTGAAAGAGAAAGTCGACATGATGGCCGCAAGCTTGACTGAATAAACAATTACACATTGAAAAATGTGTTATTAGTTTGTACTATACTTATCAAATAAAATGTAATTTATTTTTTTTAAATTCCTACCTACCTACCCTAAATTTTAAAGAGGTGTTTTATTTGGCCTAGTTGTAGCATGAAGATTAGTTTGTGTAAGCCAACACTAGTAAGACATAGATAGCATGAATTGTATCTTGGTTTAGCATTTAAGTGCAGATGTTAAACATGAAAGTCATGTTGTAAGTACATTTATGAAAGGCAAGCGCCCATTAAATTCATTCAATATATCCATGAACTACCTTGATAATCACAATATTTCTGAGTTGAAACCTTTTGAATTATCAGAAATCAAAAGTGTCAATTTCAAAGCACTATCCTATTTACTGTCTCGAGAAACAATTCTAGAATTATTTTAGTCATTTGTCATAATAAACAATGGTATATAATGCCTAGAAACTTTGGTGTTGCTCACTGCTGTTTCAGATGCATGTAAGTATCTTTCTTTCGAATTGTACATATTCAAATGTATGTTTACCCTAATGACATTTTCTTCTTGTTATTGTAGATACATACCCAGAAACACAACAACTGAGCAATCAATTCTCATCAGGTCTGTACATTTTGAAACTCCCACTTCCACATTGATTTTGCTCTAAGCTGACGATCATGTTTACCAAATCATCTGGTCTGTGTTCATGACATAAGGCTGAGAAGGATGATCAAAGATTTGGAATTTGATATCCAGATGTAGTTTGGTGGAGGATTCCCACACTGTGTCACTCAAGGAATGTTTCTCTGGAGACAGTAATGCATTGTGATCAATGTCCTTGTATGTTGTGCATTGTGTTGTTCCTTTGCTAGACAAATGCAGTTCAATAAACAACAGGTGAGGAAAATACACTTTAATTCTGTGAGTAGATCAAAGTGGTCCTCACCCCCCTCCAACAATGACACTGTTGACAGTCAATATGAATGCAACATGGTTTCAGTAATCTCAAAGTAATGTGAAACCCACTTAAGATTGACAAAACATAAGAAAACTTAGCAGGCTTTACATTTTCTGGCCAGAGATGAAATAAAACTTGTTTTTGGATCACTAGCTACTCAAAAAGGGAAGAACTTTTGTTCCTGAAAGTGTTCAAAAACAGAAGAAGCCTCCTTACACATTATTGTCTACTTGATATTAAGCGCATTTTATGAAAGAATAAAACATATCCCCCTACAGAAAGAAACCATATCAGGAGGGACTACAAGGGGAAGGATTGTCATAGAAAAGAGCAAAGCTACATATTCTATTATATTAGTGATTTCTTAATAACAGCCTCATTTGCAAACCTGTAGTGACTGGGAAGTTCCCAAGGGAGTTATGATACCTTAGCATAATATGTGGCAGTATGCAAATAAAACAGTGTAATGCACATAAATGCCCCTATAGCAGCTCTTGTATCAACATTATCTGTTCCCTTACAAAGGAAGCTTTCAGAACTTCATCCTGTACTCTGCAAGATCAATAGTCTTTACAAGCTCCACATGCAGGAAGCCAATATGTTTTATTCATTCATTATACAACATACTGCCAGAGGAAAAGGGCAGGCTTTTATACAAATTCTCATTTACCAAGCAAATTCTGTACTCTTAGAAATAAAGTATTTCTCAATTAAACAAAGTTACCCATAATAAGATAATGATACTGGTTTAGCAGTCCAAGTCATCCCTTTGTTATAAATCATGTGTTTTTTAATGTTTGATGCTTACAAATCTAGACTACCATATTTGCTTGTGTAGGATAACCATATGTGCTGCAATAAGTGCCTAGGGTGCTGAGAAAATCAACATTAATTTGGCCTGATTTCAGAGTGCTTATAACAACTAATGTTTGTTTCAAGGCACTTGTGTTATTGTAAATAATATTGAGTAGAAGTGATCTGCTTCCCAGTGCTTGTGAAGAAAACTTGCAATTATACTTACAAGTTGGTCAGTGGGAACATTAGCAGGGTGTCATAGTGGTATACATGAAATATATATTATTTTCTTTTTATACTTTCTAATGGGATCGAGTGGTCAGGATCACTGACTTCATCGACACATGTCACAGTATCCCAATTGCATAGATTGATGCTCATGATGTCAGTCTCTGGACTGTCTGGTCCAGACTTGATTATTTACAGACCGCCTCCATATAGCTGGGATATTGCTAAGTGTGGTGTTACACAACAAACAAAACTTTTCTTTTTCAATATTCAAATTTCTTTAAAATAACTTATTTAGAAGAATTGTTTCGACTTCATTCAGTTAAATATTGACTTATTGATTCAATATCTTGCTTCAGGTCTGTAAAGATGGACTTAGATTAGAACTTAATTAGAGACAAGCATTGTCACTAAGGTGACATAATCCCCCGCCGCAAATTATCAAATCAAACTTATAAAGTAATGAAAGTTTAAGATGAAGTTAAATGTCAACAAAAACATTATCTTGCTCTTTAGTTGTTCAAACACACACATATTTTCAAGACTGACTTTGACCTTGACATGAATGTCATAGTGTATGAAATATGCAAAACTAGTACTAAAGAAATTGCTTATGAAAAACATTCAAGGGAGGTCTTGAAAGTCTATGAAGAAAATCCAGTGAACCATTTTTAAAATAAACTAGGCACATATAGAAACTGTGCATACAAAAATTTAAAATCTAAATTTATCAAACCTGTGTAGACACATAAGGATTTAAACTCAGAGATGAGTGACACGTATCCAACATGCCTGCACGTGCCACGTTCCGTGAGGTTAGTGGGTTCGTCCTTGAGACGTGCAATACGTTGTTGCACGTGCATTCCGGGAAAGAGAAACAGAGCAAATGAATGCCACACAATACTGTCACTTTGGAAAGCTCAACCCTTGCCCTTGCGATCGTTAAAAAATTAAATGGCTATTGAAGCGCATAGCATGCCAAGGCTCACGTCTGCACAACGTCACGAGGCCATTGGGATGGTCCGTGGGGGAATGTCTCAACGACAAGTGGCTGCACATTTCCACTGCCACCGGAACACCATTTCTGCACTGGTGAGGGCGCTACCAGAACACAAATGACGCGCTCGATCGGCCCACGTTCTGGGCGTCCACGTGTAACAACGCCAAGACAGGACAGATGGATAACGGTGACCCATCTTCGCCACAGGTTTCAGACTGCAGTGATGACTGCCCGAACCATCCCAGGACTTCGCCGTATCCACCCCAACACAGTTCGACAACGTTTACGTCATCACGGGATCAGACCACGACGTCCTGCCATACAGCCTATCCTGACACAACGTCATCGACAAGCTCGCCAAATGTGGTGCCGAAATCATGTCCGCAGACCCTTGTTTTGGTGGAGAAATGTTGTTTTTACAGATGTGTCCAGGTTTAACATTTCCCATAGTGATGGACGTCAACGTGCCTATAGACGCGTGGGAGAATGTTATGCACAGGCCTGTGTCTTGGAGAGGAATCGCTTTGGTGGTGGGTTCCGTGATGATTTGGGGTGGAATAACAGCACGCCAAAGAACTCCTTTGGTGATTGTTCAGGGCAACTTAACTGGTGTGGGCTACAGGGATCAGATTCTTCGACCTGTGGCAATTCCTTTTCTGCAACGTCATGGCCCTGGGTTAACATTCCAACAGGACGATGCCCGCCCTCATACGGCAAGGGTTGCTATGGATTTCTTGCAACACCACAACGTTGAGTTACTGCCTTGGCCTGCAAATTCACCGGATCTCTCCCCGATAGAGCATGTTTGGGACGAGATGGATCGACGTCTACACCGTCTTCCTCATCCGCCAGATAACGTCCTTGACCTTGCAGCAGAACTTGAGAGAATCTGGCGTGACATCCCACAAGCCTTCCTTGCACGTTTGATAGGCTCTATGCGTCGTCGATGCACTGCTGTTCTCAATGCCGATGGTGGACATACCCGTTATTGAGCTTGTGACATGGTCGTTTGACCCCTGTCCCGTTTGTGGACTCGTGACATCATTGTGATTGACTTTTCAATTGAAATTCTCCCGACTTGTTATGGTCTCATGATCCCTCCATTAAAGTTTATATGTACCTTTGACATTGTTATCTTACTTATCAACTGGGATAATATTTTGACAATGCACAGTTTCTTTATGTGGCTAGTATATCTTGCTGACAATTCAGGTTAACATTCTGAAATCTTCATAGTGTCGTCATGACCCTAAAAATTATGTGAAGGTCACCAAAATTTATTGGGCCCTGGGCCTTCCCTAGATGAAGCTTGGTGTCAAATATGAAGAAAGTCCACAGAATATTTTTTGTGATATCTTGCTGACTATCTTAACAAGCAATTTAACATGCTGAAATCTTCAGTGTCTGTGACCTTGAAAATTAAGTGAAGGTCACCAAAATCAACTGGGCCCTGCGCCTTCCCTGGATGAAGCTTGGTGTCAAATATTAAGAAACTCCAGTGAATGGTTCTTGAGGTATCTCGCTGACAAGCATAACATGTATGTTAATATGCTGAAATCTTCAAAGTGTCTCTGTGACCTTGAAAATTAAGAGAAGGTCACCAAAATTGACTGGGCCCTGGGCTTTCCCTGGATAAAGCTTTGTGTTACATATGAAGAAAATTCAGTGAACGGTTCTTGAGATAGCTTAACATGCAGGTTAACATGCTGAAATCTTCAAAGTGTCGCCATGACCTTGAAAATTATGTGAAGGTCACCAAAATCAACTGGGCCCTGCGCCTTCCCTAAATACAGCTTGGTATTGAATATGAAGAAAATCCAGTTGAGATAGCTTAACATGCAGGTAAAACATGAAAGTCCCCTTGTGACCTTGAAATGAAGGTCAAGGTCACAGGTCAAGGTCCTTTCTTATAGTGTGATGAACCTAGGTACCAAATATGAAAAGAATCTAGTGAACAGTACTTAAGATATTCCAATTCGGACATACGGACGGACGGAGCCTAATACTATATCCCCTGCTTTGCGCTAAACGCGTTTAAGGTAAATGTAGCGCAAAGGATTCCTATTGCCCACAAATGAAGGGACTTGTTTATCTGGATTCAGTGACAGATGCCCCTTACAATCTGACTTCAACTTTGGTTGTTGATTTGACAAGGTAGGTAGCTACTACTCCACAATGCTGTGTATCAAACACTGCATTCATAAGAGAGCAAACATACAATCGTTGTTACATACAAATATAAGTTTATCAAAAACAATTAAAGGATGATAAATCCAATCCCATGAATAAAGCATCTGAAATTTTCACTGATACATATTTTACAGGTTTTCTCCACCTGAAAGAATCATTGATTTCACTGAAAATAGTTTTGAACTTAGGTTGATTTTCCTCCAGAAAAAATAATAAACAAGCCCAAAACGTAAGCAAGGCTCTCTAATGCCCCTGATTGTGACTCCAAACCTCAGCTGAACAACAATTAATAATGATTATTCTTGACAAAAATACAAGATCTGTATCAAACTTTACACTGCATCTTCCCTATAAACAACAAAGCCCTTGCTAAATCTGATAACAATCTGGTAATGAAGTAAATAATCATAAAGTTGGTTGAACAAATTTGATGTGAGACTTAAAAAAGCTATAAAAAAAGCTTACCTATAGGTAAACAGTTGAAGCAATCTGTGAAAGTTTTCCATAATTTAATGTTGTATCTTCTCTTGCATTCATCATAAAAACCATATATTCTGAAATAAATATCATAAATGAGACATACAAAACTGTTGTTCATTGTTCATAAACAGAAATTTGTGGAAATAGCAGATACTTGGTTTTATCATGACCTAACAAAGCTAGGGGTACTGGGAGACCCAATGTCCTAGGAACCCTCAATAATTGATTTCAAAGGTTCTAGCAGGAAATTAAAGTTTCGTGTAATGTAATGAAATGGTGTAGCATACTGTACTGTAAGATTTGATAATTACTTGAACTACACAACCTATTTAATTCCTGTCAAGAATTTGGCACAAGGAATACCATTGTGCAACTCAAAATCATATTTTACCATTGCAAGTTTATTGTTGTTCAAAATTTAGTGAGGTCCCAGGCTCCATGAATTTTGTTCGTAAGTATTTGAATCTAGGGGCCACTAATTCTTGAACTTTAAACATCAAGGTTATGAGAACGAACCCTTGATTGACTGCTTAATTAGAAAAAAATGTTCATAATTATGCTATTTATTATTACAATATAACACTGAAGTTAACAGATTATACAATTCAAGTGCAGGGATAGACTAATCTGACTTGAAGAAATCCAGGGGGACCTGCTGTTTTCTGGCAAACCTATTTATACCACATAAACCTCTAATCCAATATGAGCTGGGTATGAACTATGGTGGCTTCTACCGAAGGACATCTTGCTAAGAAATCTACCTGGAAAATAACTGTTCCCTAGCAACATTACAAAGTATAGTCTGTGCCAGAAAAAAACATGTTACTCTTAAATTGTTCTGTTATTATGTTTACAAGATCATGCTCCACTGTCATGAACACCAAAAGCTTTAATTGGGATAACATGTACAGATAAATGGTCTTGATATTTGAGAATCATGCTTAGCTTTGTTTTCAAACATTTTAAATGACAATTTATCATTTGTACAAAATCTAAATGTCTATATCTCTACTTAAATATATTGTTTTATTCTTAAAAAGTCTCATTAAAAATCACAATTGATGATACTCTTTTCCATGCATTACTGTATGAATAAATCTTTCATCACTTAATAATTCTTTGCAACTGGAAAAAAACAAAGTATTGTATTGATTTTACAAGCAATTATTCCAAGATGCTGTATTCAGTTTCATGATTAGGAATCGTGAAAACATACATGTCTAATGAAGTGGCAGTGTCACTACCACGAAACCAAGCAATAAAATCACCCAAATCACCACAACAGTGATCACATTACCATTAGCACCATTCATCAATACACAAATCAATACCAGCATTAATTGCCAATACACAACCAAACTGGAATAATCTGGCACCCAATAACACCACTTGAGTCAATACATAATCTGATGTGATGAAAGTCATTATAGAATGAGATAATCCTCTAATTCCGGGGTTTATAACCCTGTTATTCTTTGGCCAGACTGATCATTACACAGAGGTTTATGTCTTGTCATATTGAATAATCTTGCATTGAGAGCTAAACCTTGTAATATTGCCTGCTTGATAATTGAATGATTATCAGCAAGTCACACGACCCACCTGTCAAAACCACCTATGGTTTCTGGTATATGAAAGCTGCCAGAGATTAACTACATGTTCTGATATTTGATCATTCTGTGATGGCTATGGTCAATCAATAATCAATAATGGCACACACAGATCTTTCCCTGCAGTTAATAGGCTGAAAATGCCCCATAATTGTAGGTGAATAATTCCCCTCCTGTTTACACTGATATAAGGAACTGAGTTGATGATGCTTCCTAACATGATGTTCAGAACAATATTCATGTGTCTAACACTTATACTTAACATTCAGGGTTTAACAGGACAGATATGCGAGTCCAGTTTGGAAAGGAATATAATTAACAGAGGGGCACAAAAAATAAAACAAACAAGAAAATATAAAATCAATGTTATAAATTTGATCAGCAGTCTGAAAAGTCCCAGAATCATATGAATTCAAAGTTCATTTCATGGTGTACAGTAAACTCCCATCAGCACCCATGAAATTAAATATCTGCCCCCCGTTTAACAAAGTATAGGCATGTACAAACATTCTAGCTCTATAATTATTGCTTCTTAAAAGTGTACACGAATATTCTTTTACATGAAACATCATCATATCTTCAAGAGTGACATTTTTTACAACACTAATTATGCCTGATATGTCATAAGAAGGTTACGGAAGGTAATTAGTTAGATAAGATGCCACTTCAAAAGCAATATCAATATTCAGATAAGACTGCTGTAATTCGTTCATTGAAAAAACACTATTCCTGGGATCATTAACTCCATATGCAACAAAAGAAATAATTGTTTACATCTCATTCACATATTAACAGCTTATGTCAAATCCATTCATGCAGAATTGTCTGTGTGAAGGACAAATATGATCAAACCATTTTAAATATCATGAGCAGCCGTAATATGCCATTGCCTACAGAGAAATTCAGCTTCATAAATGCCATTGATGTACTATCACTAGATATATGTCAAGCATAACACAAGCTTCAGTGAAACACTTAAGGTTAGTTTTTATGACACCTGCACATAATCATAATGAGCAGCTTCAATGTTACACTTTCAGTGTGAGTCCTGAAGAATACATGATGACGTACCGATTGATTGATGCACATTCATGGTTCCCTCGTAGCAAAAAGAAGTTGTTTGGGTATTTGATCTTATATGCTAGTACCAAACATATAGTCTCAAGGGATCTTTTACCTCTGAAAATATAAAGAAAACAGTTTAATTATGCAAGTATTCCAGTTCTCAGCAGCACACATTGTTTATGCATACAAATCTCAAAGAATTGCCAAGACAATTGTATTTTTTAGGTCCATTAATAATGATCAGATTTTCATACTTGGTATTGTGTGTTGAAGCTGCTGCTTTGCTAAATGCAGTTACATGTAGGTACATGTGTTAGATCTACAAATGATTTCTCACAACAGTGCATGAATCATTAAGGACAGTCTACAAGGAGCGATAACACACAAATACGTTGAAGTGCAAGACACAAATGAAATAAACTGAAAAACTAGCATTTCTAAACAGTCTGATTAACACGGACACTTAAAATGCAACTGATGTAATTTACAGATTACAATATTTCAAAATGACAAAAGCTTTGTAACAGTTTTAATCAATAATGCCTTTGTCTTATAAACAATGTTTACTGCATCAACAAATCCTGTTTTATTTTCTGCTTTATCCACAATCTACTTCTGCTGACTCATCTGATGTACTTCAGGAAAACACATTGACCCTCTAAGTCAATGAATCAATCATGACTATTTTCAGACCAGTGCGACACAACCCTGGTTGAAATGATATCCTGGCAACTCCTAACTTCCCAAAGGTTTGATGGGTAATAATTCAAATGTTTCACGAACCTGTCTACATAATCACCAAGGAAAAGATAATTTGCATCTGGGGGAAATCCACATTTGTCAAAGTGTCGCAGCAGGTCCTCATATTGGCCATGTATATCTCCACATATATTGACAGGTGAATCCAGTTCCAGCAGCATGGGCTGTTCCAGGAATATTCCTCGGGACAGTTGGCATAATTGGCGAATTTGGGTTTCAGGAAGTTGAACCTACAATTAAACATTCAACGCTTGAAGCATATTGTTACATGCAGTAGAGTACAGCAAGTGAACAAATCTTTCATATTCAAAAACACATGTTAATTTTGACAGATTAGCAAAATATAAAGCAAAAGTATATAGGTGCTGTGAAATTTGATAACACTCTAGTGAATAATTGTACATGTACTTACAAAGGCAAGCACTACCATAACGCAAAACAGTCATGTGCCATCAAATATATTCACATTTTAAGATGAATGAAAAAGAGAACAAGATAATAAACTATCCAAATGATGAAGACTCAACTACTTTTGAGCAATATTAATAACCCAAGCTACATTTGCATTTCTTGTTCACTTGTTTTGTCTTAATCAGTATCACTGGTGAAAACAAGATGAAGCATATGCTCAACTGAAGCTCCAGTGTTATAAGATTAAACAAGTAGATGTAAAATATTAATCTCAATGTCTACCTGTTTCCCTGGAGAGTCTCTGACAGAGAGCAGCTGTTCAATGATAGAATCCACGTTTAGTTCCCTATTCATGATGGCTGACTTCAAGCTATGCTGTGACCAATCAGCCCGTTTTTAGTAATGTGCATGCCTGTGGGAATGAACAAAAGCAAGCGATCACACACGGGTTACACTAATATAATACCATAAACAACTTTCAATACAAAGCATTATACATTACCATGTAGTATAAGCAATATTATACATGGATAGATTTGCTGTAATACATAACCCCGACACTTACAGATGGTTAGGCTTTGTTAGCTTAACGGGTTACTGGGACATAGTAAGTTACACTAAGTCATACTGAGTGTCGCTACCACTCACCTATATATGCTAACATCCCATTCAGTGTATTCATTACTACTTATTGAATGCTATTTGTTCACAACTATATTTTATGGACTGAATGCGAACTAGAAGTTTTTATGTGGGTTCAATAAACTTCCCTTGGGGCTTTCTGCTTGTTCCTATTCTATTGATGTATGTATCCAATATCTGGTGAATTCAAACACAATTACTACCCTGACCATCCAGGCCTAGTAGGGCCTCCATCGATAACGGGGCAATTTTCAAGAGAGAGGCTAAAAACTGCGTACTGAGTATTGAAAGTGGCAGTAATTCAACTGCAGTGTATGTGTGGACAACAGTGCTGTGACAGGTGGACAAAAGCTGTGTTGACAATGTGCAACTGTGATATTCAGAAACCCAGCAACAACCACCACACTTGTCTCCATTAGTCCAACCATAATCTATACTAACAGGGTGTCAAAGTCTGTGTTGATGTTGGACTTCACATCATATGTTTCAGTCAATTGCAATCATAAATATAAACACCTATCCTATCAGGTCATATGTCTATCATAAACGGGGCAATGGAAAAAACAGTGAAGGTGTAAGTGAAATGTAACCATGACTTGACAACACTGATGATCCTTCAGTCAGTCTGGCTGGTGAAAAATACTTAGGATTAGTAGTTTTCTAAAAATACACATTGATTTTATTCTTACAGAACAACAAATCTTAAACTGATTGTGAAATCCAACTGGGCATAGTTCATGGTGTTGATCACTGAGGCAGGAAATTATGTTCTAAAAATGACATTTTATGTTTTACATTCCAAAATCTACACATATACTCTGTATGAAATTCAATAAGGTCATATTATTAATTAATCCCTGACAAATTATGTTTTATTCATACGTAAATAATATAACATATACATGCATCATTCAAGGTTTGGCCCTCCGTAAAATCACAACATTGAGTATTATAGAGTCAGTCTTTGAAATTATTTGGAGTTTTCATATCCCATTGTTTGTGCCTATGTAATTTGAGCTCCTAGAATTCTACCCTTTAAAATTAACAATGAAAAGGGCCTGTCAACTTCAACACTTAATTTCAAACAGTATAATCCATAAAGTACTATGTGCGTAACCCTTTATAAAAATCAAATGGTTAGGACACAAGGAAGGTTTGCAATGGGACCAATATCCTGACAATCATACTTCTCTTACCATATCCAGGGCTCCAGATAATTTTTCAATATCAGGAGTACGTACTCCTTATATTTTTTCAATATGGGAGTACTGGAAAAACTTAAGAGTGCATTTAGAGTACTGAATGGAAATTAGTAATCAGTATTCTTGTGTTTCATTTTGGTATATGCACCACAACATTGCTACTCTTGTGTAAACAGGTCAATAAACAATAAAACAATACCTTTTCATATACGTCTGTAAATGATTCGTACACCATTGTTGTGGTGCGAATCTGCTACGTTTTCAAAATTATTTCCTATCGTATCGTGCATATTTTTTTATCCGTACATACGTCGATACGGCCCTTATCTGGAGCCCTGCATATCATATCTAGATAACCTTTTACTCATTAGATTACTTTTGCTATTTTGAGTATATTGCAGACTCAATGACATAAATTTGGTCAAAATGGAGGTGGTCTGCAAATAACAATGAAAATTGGCCTGGAACAAATGCAATTATTTTACCATTATCATCCATGAAGACGGGTCTGTGTTGACAGGACAGTGGATATGAGATTCACCATTTACAGAGGGTAAAGCTGGGTTCTTATATTGTCTATGGACAAGCTACTGCTTTCAGTTTTTCATACTTAACATTTGATAATGGTCTTTATTTTCTACATCATAATTCAGTTTTTCTTTTTTTAAAAAGTCATCTGTTATTTTTCCCAATTCTGACTAAACAGCAACTGAGTGAGTGTGAATGAGTTCAGCTTTACGCCGCACTCAGCAATATTCCAGCTATATGGCGGCGGTCTGTAAATAATCAGGTCTGGACCAGACAATTCAGTGATCAACAGCATGAGCATCGATCTGCACAAATGGGAACTGATGACATGTGTCAACCAAGCCAGCGAGCCTGACCACCCGATCCCGTTAGTCGTCTCTTATGACAAGCATCGGTTACTGAAGGTACATTCTAACCCGGACATTCACATGTAAACAGCAACTGTGTTGTATTTTATCTATATATGCTATCCATATGAGGTTGGGTCAAAATTTATATGAACTTATCCCTTCAAACCAATAAAACAAATCTGTACACACACTGTTAGACATGAAAGCCTGCTAATGGTATTTTGTGTGCAAGCTACATAAGCCATTAACAGAACAGTGTTATTCCAAAAAGAGTTTTAACTTTACAGCATACTTCTGCTTCCAGCCTTTATTGCCATCATTATTAACATGATAAGACATAGGTGAGCTTCAAGTACAGGTTCTTTATGTTTTTGGTCTAGGATGTTATTGGTTTAAAGTTCACTTTGCCTTAAACACACCTTCTTTGTATTTTCATATATACAACAAAACACTCAGGAAATTAGTCCATTATCTTATTTGACATATGCCCTTTGGTATTGACCCTACTACAACCTTCAACAAAACTAATTTGATCAATTATGATTTATGCAGTCTGTGCCTAAAACATTTGAGTCTACTATTCCAAACTTGGACCTGAGTATATTTCTTAGAACATCTCAAGTTATAATATGGAGTCTTTTAAGCTGATCTTAACTAGACCGAACAGAATTTAATCAGACTAATGACTTGGGACGACTGATTAAAGTGGTTATGTTGTGGTTATGACAATAGATGTTGATTTCTAATACTGATCACATTTTTGTATAAATTGATATTGTGCGAACTTTGCAGCCAAGTAGTTATTTTTCAGGATTCTTAATCAACACAGGTCACAATAGTCATAACAAAACAATCAATTTACTGACCCAATTTGTGATCAAAAGACATCAAATACCAAACTACACATTCACCAAATTACATTACATATGGAAACAATATGACAGAGTACTGGCCATAAGTAGTAGATTCATGGTTGAAGTGCAAAGGTCAAAGCAGGACCCTAATTTAAAACATTGCAAAAAGCAGGCAATGACATAAGCTACTTGACTTTCAATCAGGTGAGCAAAAATCGGAATATTTCGGGGTTTCCAAATTCAAATAATTTCAAACACTGCCTAGACTAATGCTATATTTCGAACACTGGTTTCTGAGAAAAGTCCTTTTGACTTCTGCTAATGGCTGACATATAGTTGCTGCAGGGTTAAAGAATATTTACACCCATGTTTGTCAGCTTTAACATCACAAATCAAATCAATTAGTATTAGTTACTAAGCTTCAGCTGATCTATGTATGAGCGGATTGACCTGAGACTTTCAATTTATCAGTCCTCAGGTCATTCAGTAATGATAGTTGGGGTTCCATGGAATAAAAGTGTGTGTGTGTGTGCATGCGTGTGTGTGTGTGTGTGTGTGAACACTGCAGCCAATAACACAAGTATTTTTGGTACTGTATGGAGAGTTCCTAATTTGAATCACAACTAGGTAAAGGATCTGAACAGAAATATATGCTTACTGGGTACGGTACAATTTAAATATTTTCAGTCATTCCAATGTGCATGCCCTTTGGCAACCTATGAGACTCACAGTACATACCACTCACACATATACACATAGGCTGCAACATTTTGCATCTAGTATCACCCAGTTACTATAGTTCTGTGGTTATTGATGTGTGCTCCTATAGTATTTGAATCTAGGGAACCACGAATAATTTAACTTTAAACAATGGGATAATGAAAAAGTCTCAAAATGACCTTACCTTTCACACTTAATTAACGAACACTGATAGCCATGACAACATTTAACAAATTATCTGTCTGTGAAGTATTTCCAACTCGCTAATATCAAGGTTGAATGTCAGTAAATGGTGGTTGATGGTATGACTTATAATCCATGATGTTAAGTTGGGCTGGATAAAAAGATTGATAATTGGACATATTGTCAACAGGAGAAATTATTCACAATTATCAATATGAAAATTGAGTCATCAATAATATCATCCCAGGGATTGGGAAAGAGGGGCCATTTTGCACATTAGAATAAACAATGGCCTATTAAAATTTTGAAGTTTACAATTGATACAAGGGCAGTGGCCCATTCTAAATTCAGAAAATGGCTAATAATCCTGAAAATGGCCCATATTAAAGTTCTCTATCCCAATCCCTGCATCCATAAACTACTGTGATGAAATAAAGTTGTAATTTACATAATCAATACCCAAACTTACGTCTTTATTCATGGGTCACTTCCAAATTATATTCAAAATGATGTTTTTATTTGTTATTGATGCATAAATGTGTTACAACACAGCAGTGACGTGAAACATGCTAATTTCATTTGGTTACTTGTTCGATATTTATCGATAATCCATCAATATGATAGTTAATGATTGTTAATCTGTAAGATCTATATCGAAAGCAAGCCCCACTAGGATGCACAGACACATGATGATCTTGGTCAATCATGCATTGTAACCAGCTACTCCCCATTGTTTACAGGTCTTTCACCTGACCAGAGACATTGAGTAGAGTCAATTTACCATTAAATCTAAATGGGATGGCAAAACATTCAGTCAGGGTAATTACCACCTAGCTTAGATTTATTGACAAATGACACTTAAATGTCCATACGTTGTGTCTGTTCAGATGGCACGACAGTGTAAGAAACAGGTATGTTGCCACAAGAGTAACG